GGGAAATGAGATGCTCTTCTTCATAATGGAACTTTCCAGCTGACTTAAAGGCTAAAATTGACATTTTAAACCATACATGTCCCTATCTTTGTAGACTACCTACACGACACTCAATTTAGCCGCAGCTATCCCCAAACCCTAGTACCCTTCTTTCTCCCAAGTCAAAGCCCGTTGCTGTTGGTGAGTTAACATTTTAACACAAGTTTACTGTGGTGGTGGCCTTGAAGTAAGTATTTTACATGTATTAACTGATTGAATCATCATGAAAAATTCCAAGATCAGTCTTCTTATATTCATTTTTCAAAAATTCCAAAATCAGTCCTATTATATTCATTTTTCAGATGAAGAAACCAAGTCATAGTCGAGTGTCTCTCAAGTAACTTGCACAGTCATCTCTCTTAGCACTCACCTGGGACTGTGAAGACTGGAGATACGGGGCTCTGGATAAATTCCTTCTACATACATGCAGGGCAGCTGTGCAAACAGCTGTACAAACACAAATCCCTACCCCCTCCATCTTCTAGCTGTGCGCTAAAGAGGCAAGTTACCTAGACCTCAAATGTTTCCATCTATAAAATGAGAATGATGTATCTACTTCATGGGATATTGCGAAATAGGCCAGTCCTTCTCAAACTCTTATCTACGGGATAAACATCTTCCTACGGTTCCTATTTTTAAGATTTTTTTTTTAACGTGAGAAGTTTTTTTCTGCATTCCTACAAGGTATTGTGATGTGTCTGTGTTAAGGATATTCCTTTCAATGATTTCCAATCCTATATTGTTCCTATAGAACTAGAGAATATTGTATAAGAGCTCTGCGTAGTGATTGTCTGGAAAATGTTATGCTTTTGTCTCATGCTAACTGCTCAGCGTAGGTCTTGACCAAACAAGCCCAAACAACAGCAGCCTAAGAGCATTGCACCATGGCACCTCTCAGGCACCATTTTAAAGGTAAACTAATCTCAGTGATCCAACCAAACTCAGGGAGTTGGGGGGGGGGCGGGTGCGAAACAGTAGCAAGTATATCCTTGTAGTTTAAAATGATATCTGGGTTCTCAAAATGCTATGAAATCACAATGAAGAGAACTGTCTGGATGCTAACCCCAAGAGATGATGTCAGCTCTTCTTCAACCCAATTCCCCCAAACTGATGGTCTCAAGGCAAGAGCAGCTTGCTCCTTCCAATCAGCAAGGTAGGAAACTTACATCCTAATAGTATGTAATTTTAAACATGTTTATATTTGAAAAGACACGAATATAGTATGTATTAAAAACTTCTCAAGAAATTTTACAAATGTCTTGTCACATATTATTTCCCCTAATCTTCACATCAATAATGTTGCTTAAAAATGAGTTGTATTTTACAAATAAGAACACAGAGGAAAAACCACACTGGAATTCAGGTCTTCTAACACTTGGTCCAGTGATTGGTGCACTTTTTGACTATCTAATACTAAAATAAAAAATTCGAACCCAGCCAGGTGCAGTGGCTCACACCTGTAATTCCAGCACCTCGGGAGGACAAGACAGGAAGATCGCTTGAGGTCAGGAGCTGAAGACCAGCCTGAACAAGAATGAAACCCTGTCTCTACCAAAACTAGAAAAAGTAGCCAAGCACAGTGGTGAGTGCCTAGTCCCAGCTACTCAGAGGCTGAGGCAGGAGGATCACTTGAGCCCAAGAGTTTGAGGTTGCAGTGAGCTATGATGATG